AAAAAAAATCCTTCCCAATTTATTTTTGTTTTTTGCCATGAAACTACTCGGTTCAACTGTACCTTTCCTTCTGAGGTCACAGGTCAGCTGTATTCACCAGAAGACAGAAATATATTATGCTATGAATGGGGAAGAGGATTACTCTCTCTGGAGAATTTCAGCCCTGTTCTCTGTGAATGCACTTGTCTGTGTAAAATCCAAAATTACACCTCTAGGCATTTTCGTTCATTTTGTATTTATGAGGCTTTTGTGGTAAGTACTCTGTCATAATTGGTATTAGCAAAGCCCCCCATCCACAAGTCAAAAAATAGCACCATGGTGCCCCCTGGTGACAGCACACAAAAAACACAACCATGTTTTACAATGGTCCTTGGCACGATTAACAGATTATTTTGTCACATGAAAAACACAACCACGTTCTACCTTAACTCACACTTAGGTCAGAGTTTGTGATTATGCTTATGTAGACAAATCAGGGCCCCAACAATAATAATAACTCAAGGTATCATGTGCTGTTACTTCATGTGGCGCCTTAGTCTCAGTTGCTGAGGCAATGCTATTCAAAGAGACCCAGCTATCAGCAACATACATTCCTATAGGAACAAGGATGGCAATATGGTACGTCTGTCAATGCTCAGTGCAAGGTGATTTGTAAATATACATAGAATGAATTAATATTCATATACAAATGGATGGATTCCATTTATTGTAGGTCCTGACATATGGCTTACTTATACTCACACAATACTTCCATTAACTTCAAATGCCCCTTGGCTGGACTCAGTCATGCAGAACAAAACAACAGGCAGTGTCAGTTATTAGCCACAAGGGGCAAAGTTATGGTTTTAACTGCATTCACACACCGAGCCCAGCACGCAGTGCATACGATACCATAAAAAACGATCACTTATCATCATCGCAAACCGATAAAATGTACAAAGCACTATGAGATGGAATACGTTTTATCTAGCAAAGCCACAATAAGAAGCCAAGGGCTGAGCTTCGAATGACATTTACAGTGTATTTCATTTCCTCTATTGGAAACCATTGTGTGTTTGCAATCAAAGCAGATCTGTGCCTAAATGTAGACAAGATGAGATGTTCAGGCTGTCAAAGGCAAACAGGACTAATGAGGCTGGACTAGGCTGACCATGCTTCTGGCTGTAGGGAAATGGGCTCTTTCACGTCAGATGAGAAAACCGTCAACTGTGTTTGGCAGTGGGTGTGATTACCTGCTCCTCTGGTCTCCCTGCCTCTTTTTTTGGTTACATGTGCATTTGTGCGTGTCAGAGAGAGAATTACAGAGAAACAGACGCAGATGCATAGCTACTGTGAAAGAGACAGAGACAATCTTTTCTTACAAGAAACTCTGTTGACATTTGAAGAAAAACATTGAAGCTTTTTAATTTGCTTCTCTGTGGGCCAGGTAAGGACAGAACTAAAGTTTATTCTCCCGCCAAAACCTGGGCCTAATAATCTTCTCTGTCAGGGAGGCTTTAGGGTTAACATAAGATACGCATGTTTTTAACCTGGACGTCGCCCATACAGTTACGCCATCAGTATGTCTTCTGCTGCACTGCACTCATTCTCTGCTTATCACCTGCAGATTTAACGTGTTGGGGGAGAAAAGGCCGAATCAGGGGAACTTCCGTTTTTTTCCAAATATCACTTCTTATATCCATTTTCATTTGACTTATTTAGATTACAAACTGTCATTTTCCCCCCTGTATCCACAGAAATGACTCGTTTGCTGCTACATTTGTAAACCAGCATTTTAAATCGATCATGTACTTAAACACAGTCTTACCTGTTGCTTATAATAAGCACCAGGTTTGGAACACATTCATGAAAACAGAGATCGAATTTATCGACAGCATCGACGGCAAAAGCCGCCGTGCCTTAGCAATTTGCCGTGCTGCCACGAATATTTACAAGTTCTTGCCGGCAGATACTTGCAGTGCCCTCTTCCTCAGTTGCCTTTGTGCCCTATTGTGTATGTTTAGATCATAATAAAGTCAATAAACTTATGAAATCAAGAACAAGTTCTTCCGTCTTTCACTTCTCTGTCGCCATGTCCATGATATGTGGGTTGATAAGCGCATTCCATAATTTTACGTTAGTCACGCCTCCATGGTTAAATTATTCAGAGCGGCTATTCTAGCCGATGCTTACCTCAATCCGAAACATAGCAACATGTTCATAGAATAGGGAGGGTGAAAAGGTTTAGAAGTTCTTTTGAAAGTGAGGCTGTATTGTGGGTATTTTTGGCACGTGAACAATCATCGATTTACATCGACAAATACATGTTAAGGACCTGTTATAAGGCCACAAAGTTCCAATTAAAATGCCTACGAAAGATCGGGTGAAAAAAGAAAGCAGGCTGAGATGACGGCCGCTGCTTCTAAGACCCAGAAAATAACCACATTTTTTAGGTAATTTCGCTGGTTATGCATGTCTTTCCCAATCATACCGCATCTATTGTTATGGAAATTATCTGTCATTACTTGACGTTGTAATAATTTATAATAGACTGTAATAATTCATAGAAGATTGAAATTATTGATACCAGATGTGCATTGGATTTTAGTGAAAACGGAGAAGGAGTTAGAGCATAAACTGTACTGTCCTGCAGTTGCTGTCACGGGACAGTTCGTAGTGGCTCCCGGAAGTGTTGCGGGACAGTTCGTAGTGGCTCGCGTCACTGGGCGGGACAGTTAGCGAGTGGCTCGCGACAGTGTTTGAGTGTCTCGGGGCAGTGTTTGAGTGGCTAGGGGCAGTTGGCGAGTGTTAGTTAGTTGGCTTGAATATGGTCACTCATGCATTATTTTGAAGTTCTGTTAGTCATGTTAGTGTTCAATGTCTCAGTAAAAAAAATGTTCATTAAATTAAAGTTTTTATCACTGACAATAGCTGGTTCTGTTTTTTTTTCATAAAACACTTCGTCATTACTGAGTAGGTGAATGAAGGCAACAGCATCTTTTTTCAATACCTAGTCTAACACTATTTCACAGGGTGCTAATGCATTTATTGCCCTTGAAAATGTCAGAATGCTAAATATTTCATGCGTCCGGCTATATACCTTTTTGCCTCAGTGCCCTGGCCAGTAATTCTTGATTGCCTTGGTGCCCTCCTAACCTATGGGAAAATGCCTTAGTGCCCTCCTATATTTGAGGGGATAAAAGGCAAACATTGCTGTGCCCCCCGAACAAAGTAATTCTGCCCCTGTGAAAAGATCATTTCTTTTGGGATTTTGTGTTGAAAATGTTTTCGTTACTTCCTTGTAAATGTCCAACTTGGGTAGTCTGGGGTGACAGAAATTCTGTTCACCACGTCTTGCCTCGATTAACCCTTTTGAAGCAGCGGTGCCTGCTCTTGCTGCAGCTTAAAGTACAATTAGAAAAGAATCCTGTCCCTCTCACCTCTCAGCTTATACCTTCACTTGTACAGTTTACATGTTCCTTATTTACCAACCAGGGAGTGGTGGACAGTTGCTTCTAGATGCTCTTCATACAGTCACATGTTCACACTTCTATGTCAGCTTGGGTGTTTCATTGCTTGTAAATCACCTCATGCTGCTTTGTGATTCCTGTTCCTGTTTATACAACTGCATGTATACCAAGAACATTAGGATTCCTGGCATTCGAACCTCAGCACAGCTCCACATACACAGTGTCACTTTGTGCAGTGCCTCCTTCGACCAGCACACAACCAGAAACCGCAGCTGAGGATTTCAGGCGTTCCCTTTCAAGATTAGCTGGCTTAGATGCTGGTTTCTGGACAGTGGTTACCCCAGCTGTGACACATAAAAACCAATAGATTTTCACCGACACAGTGAGAATGGTGCATAATATCCAGAAATAAACATAGCTGCACGCCCAGACAAAACACAAGGTCTAAAGATACTTGTATGTTTGAGACAAAACAGCGCAGGGCTGAAAAATTCAAATGTTTGAAAAGAAGAATAACGGAAGAACTATATTTTCATTGCAGTGAAATTAGACTCATCTATGATAGATTTTCAGTGCGCAAGTAACTTTAATTACCCAATGAATGATGGATTAAATGCCTAAAGGTGGCTCTTTAAGGTCCTGTTCCTTTTTCCACAATGGTGAAGACAAGACAGCCATCTGAGAGCATCTGAAATGTGATTAGCACCAAGTATAAGGATACTAAAGGCCACCTCGAAAAATCTTGGCATCCCTGTTTCAATTATTTTCAACTTCATGAAGAACTTTGCTGCATGGTAGGAAGAGGGAAATTGATCAGAGAAGCCTTTGGACTGGAAAAAACACCACGTTCAACATCCACAGGCATCTGGCCTGATACTCAGGTTTTCAAACTCTGACACTCTCACGAGAAATCTATATTATGGCAAATCTATATTATTCCATTATAAACCTAATCTTAACTACATAAAAAGCGTTGGGGTAGTTTGCAAATACCGTAGACTATTTAGAAAGTCATAAAACTGTTACATGGTGTAAATGCGTGTACATATGTGTGCAGACTTCTCTCGAATTGAAAATTTCACTCCAGCCAGCTGACCAGAGTTGGCAACGCAGTGTACATGATATATAAAATTATTTAAGGATGGGAATAACGTCGACCATACTGTAAATATGTTGTTTGTTTTTTTTTTAGGGGGGGGTGGCTACGCTGGCGACGTAGAAGTTGTTTTGCTTTTGATTGGTTTGGATGCATGACAACGCATGAGATGGCAAAATGAGCTGAAAACATGGGTCTCACCGGTAAACAGTGCAATTTGACACCTCTGTGTGTATATATATGTGTATATCTTTTAGTTTAAAACTTTCGTTTAAAAGAGCAGGGATTCCAGAAGCCGTTAAAAGTCGCCTAACTTAATATTATGTTTGTGAGTCATGTACATCATGACAACCTGGCCGGTGACATCACGAAACTGTGCAAATGTGCGAGACCGGGAGAGAAACTGGACAGAAACTGCGCGCTCCCCTCCCCCTTCCGGGAGCGCTCTTAAAACGCGCTCCCGTACCACTCTCATTACGTACTCAGGTGCGGCTGGAAGGCACAGGTGCGCAGTTGGTTTAGCGTTACCTCCACGAACGGCTGTGTACTTTTCCCCAAGAAAATTTAACGTAAATTTATTGAAAAGGGTAGTGCTGTTTTTTAAATCGAACAGGTATACAGAGGTATCAGGACAAAAGGTCCTCTGTGAAGATTTGTGGGACTTTTTTTTTTGTCAAAGGGAACTTTTTTTCTTTTTACGCTTCTTCAGTCGTCTAGTTTAAATCGCTCCTAGAGCTTTTCTGAAGGTCCGTCAAGACTTGAAGTAACACTAAACGTGTTTCTGGAGTGAAGGAGTAAAAATGGCCAACTCGGGGCTGCAGCTCTTGGGTTTCGCTCTAGCGCTTCTTGGCGTTATCGGCCTTATTATCGGGACCATTCTGCCTCAGTGGAAGATGTCCGCCTACGTTGGGGACAATATCATCACGGCCGTGGCCATGTACCAGGGATTGTGGATGTCCTGTGCCTTCCAAAGCACCGGGCAGATGCAGTGCAAAGTGTACGACTCCATGCTACAACTTGATGGTAAGTGATTTTAACTCTTAATGTATTTTATTTATTTTTGAAATGGTGCGGTGAATTGACGTTTAACATGATGTAATGTGGAGTTTGGCTTTTCAAAAGTGAAAATCATTTGCGTTACCTGACCGGGGTCATCCTGCTTGTGCATAAACGAGGGGTGTGGTGAGGGAGGAGCTTTTCTCTTCGTCGGGCAGCCGTTCTCACCTAGTTAGGTGTCCACTGCAGAACTATAGTTACCTGGTTAGAGAACCGAAAGAGTATCCTCAGTCAGCCACGACTGTCAATTAATTTGTGTCCCCTTTCCAATCCATCAACTGGGTCCATGATCTCGGTGAGACTGATGAACAATGGCTCACCTTGCGTGTCCGCACCTTTTCGGCCACTGTGTGCTAATGCGCATGCGTACGTTTTTCTTTGTAACCGGTTTGCTCTCATTCTCAGTTTGCCTTTTATTTGGAAACCGTTGTTTGGACATGACTATCTTTTCAGAAACTGAAGCAGTTATACTGCTGTTTAACTTGATCTGTTATTATGAAATGAGGTTTGGTGAGTAGTTCTGGGAATTTCCACAGCAGGCCTGGCTACCTGGAGAGAGCATGTGTGTTATGGCATCATCGTCCGCCATGGTTACCCCTCCCCTCCCTGGGATTAGTGATTCCCCAAAGTCTCTGCTTGTTTTTGTACTTTGAATAAATCTGAAGGTCTTGTTTGAAATTGGTATTTCCCCAGTGAAGTGAAATGTTGTCTTTGTGCTGTGGTTTTAAAATGTCATTCTTGGCTCCAAGGTTTTGAGCTTTGCTCCATTATGCATGATTACTTTTTCAAAGTGGCACATCTGCAGGTGTCAGGGGCTGACTATAAAAGGTAAACGTAGACGCACTGTAGATGACCTGTGTACTATTATGTAGACTAGTGTGCATGTGGACCTGTGTACTATTATGGTGAGGAGTTACAGTTCTGCGTTACTACATTTGGGTGCGGTATTTCATAAGAGAAACATGCCAGGAAAACATGATCATATTTTATTCCCAGCAGTTTTTTTTTTTCTTACAAGTTCCATGTAACAAGTGACTCCCATGATGTGTGTGTGGACCATTGGGTGCGGTCTGTTTGCTGCGGCACTGCTAAATTTTGCATGAATGCCTATGCAACAGTGGGGTAGCCTCATCCTTGACTCCTGAGACTTCCTTGGGTACTTTTGGCTTTTACCTTCTGTTCTGATATAAACAAACCAGACCAGTAGTAGATAAAGCTGTTTGACTTGTGCAGCAAAGTATGTTATCGTGGTTTTATCTCTATGCATATATGAGTTTTGTGAGCCAAGCCTGATAGCAACATTATAATTGTGTACATACATCAGTCCAAGAGGGGGTTATTATAATTTACTGAACTGCTTCGCCTGCTGAGTTGTCCCTGTTGAATATGCAGATATTTTGAGTCATTCAGAGGAACATAGACTTGAGGAACAGTGTCTGGCCATTTCTATGTACTGACAAACTTTTCCAGTACTTGGTGAATTGTCAATGATCTCAAGGTTACTTGGGGGGGGGGGGGGGGGGGTGGTCAAGGTCTCCATGGAGAACCAGGCAGGGGATCAGAAACTACAACCCAGACTGTGTAGCACCTTCTAGAATGAATGTGTGTGAAATAAAGCTTCTTGGTTTTAGTGGGGGAGGTCTAATTACATTAGGTGGATCTCCACATGCACTATGAAAAATCCATGGATACTGGGTGGGCAGAATGGTTCCTGCATACTTTAAAAAAAAAAAAAAAAAAAAAAGTCACCACCTGATCCATCTACAATGGCTGCTGCTTCCGGAACCTGCCCCCATCCTTCCGATAAAGACCTCTTGCCCATCCCAGTCTTCTCAGGAAGGACAAAACAGGTTCTCCTTTTTGATGCTAGTGAAACATGATCCTTTAGCTCCTACAACGTCCCTTTACCGGTCTGACCGGTTCCATTCACTGGGGGAAGAAGGGGAGTATTCACTCATGCAGAGGAGTGTCTAGCTAGAACCAGTTTGTGGGCCAGTAAGTGGAAGTGATATCGTGATTTGCATGGCATGTGGTTTGAGACGTCCGCAAACCCAGGAGTCATAGACGATCAGTATTTACGTAAACCCCAGTTTAAAAAAATAATAATTCTAAGCCTCTTAAACTGTGTGTGTACTGTATAAATAGCTGGAACAAATTACGACTGAAGAATGCGAGAACTTACCGTCATTATTACCAAGCCAAATGCCCCCCCCCCCCATGTCTTGGAATGTGACATAAGGGTTTTGATGCAACTTTTCTTCCCCCCGGGTGGCTGTTAATCTTGACGACGACATGATTTCCCTCCCCAGGAGCCCTGCAGGCCACCCGTGCCCTAATGGTTGTGGGCATCCTCTTGTCCGTTGTGGGTCTGGGAGCAGCCGCAATGGGCATGAAGTGCACAAACTGTGGAGGGGATGACAAAATTCGCAAGGGACGCATCGCCATGACGGGTGGTATCATCATCCTCTTGGGGGGTAAGTTTCAGAACTAAGGAGCCCAGTTTACTACTTTGCAACTTGCACCCAACACAAATGTTTACCCGCTGGCATTTTTAATGGAGTGTCGCTCCTGCTCTCCCCCCCCTGCTTTAGCTTTAGCCGCTGTAGTGGCCTGTTCATGGTTTGCAAACAACATCATCAAAGATTTCTACAACCCTTTCACCCCAGTTAACACAAAGTAAGTATCATGACCTTTTGGACATTTCATTTCTGAATTAAAATTGCAAAATGTTGCATTTTCATTTTTCTTGATAATGGGTTTCCGGATTCCTTTGACGTTGCCTCTTGCATTCCTTTTGCAGATATGAGTTTGGAGCTGCCATCTTTGTTGCTTGGGCTGGGGCCTTCCTGGACCTGCTGGGGGGTGGCATGCTGGCTGCCTCCTGTCCCAGGGGGCGGCCCAAACAATCCAAATATCCTGTGAAATCTACCCGCCCCCCCAGTAGCAGCAAAGAGTATGTGTGAATACCTGCAAGTTGCTATATGTGGAATCCACAGTTGTCCTTCAGTCTCATTTAGCCTGTGTATAATTCCCCCCCTCCCCCCATCAGTTGTTTCCCCCTCTTTTTTGACTTCGCTGGATCTCTGGGGCACTTTTTGAAAGGACAAATGCCCAATGTCCTTTCACAACAGACTAAAGTGGTCTTAACCACTGAGGGGCCTTCTTGTTTTAGTGAATCACGGCACCTCGGGTGTCTCGCACACCAGTACTCCTTTCGTACAGGGCCACTGAGCTTCTGAACCACTTTTGTGCTTAATGCATAACTATGCCACAATCATTTACTAATGGTAAATCCCTCACCTCTCACTGCAGGAGTGAGTCTACTTCAATATCCCTCAGCCAAAGCTTATTTCTGACAGTTTCTTTGTTTACTCCATCCTACTTCCCATTGTGACTTTTTAGTGTCTAGTAAGTGCTATTTCATACCCTTGTGGCATTTTATTGTATAGTTCCAAAAAACAAAAAATGCTGGTCACCATTGGATTGGTTTGAGTCCCCCACAAGTTTCCCTTCCTGTCCCTGTATGGCTGCACTCCGACATGCTTAAGGCACCTGAGCAATACCAAGATGAGTGCTGACCCAGCACTCTTATCTTGCTGGGTTGTCCGATGCAGCTGTGCCAGCTGGGAGACCATTTTACCCATTATCTCCAGTATGTTTTTATGGGGATTATGCCATTTTATTTTTTTTTTAATTATTGTGAAGTTTTAAATAAAAGTTTTAATGCACTGATCAAGTCTGAATTGCTTGTTGGTTTTGCCCTGTGTGTTTCTATGGGGGTGGAAATAAAAACATGCTTTTCAGGGTTTGTTTTATGGTGATCAAACCTGGTCAGTGTCAATGTATAACCACTGATTTGGTTGAATGAAGGAGCATGTTCTCAAGAGAAGCTTATCACACCAGTTTCATTTATCCGTGCCTTAAAACAAGGCACGTCCAATACAGTGTGTATGAAGGGTGAATGAAACCTTTTTAAAATGATTAAATACAATCGACACAATGGTACACGAGACTGGACAAAACGTAAATATTTTGGCTCAAATTCACTGAACTGCTGCCATCTGGTGACTATTTGAGGTACTGCGCTTGGCATAATATTAGAAAAATTAAAATGAGTGGTATTGTAAGCTTACAGTGGATGAAAGCATTTGCTTCTAGAATTATGTAATTACAATAGTGTACATGCACAGACATTTTAGTGTGCGACTAGCATGAAATGTGCAAACTTACCTAAACTTATGGCAACGTGTACGAGTGCATAATATAGTGCATTGCAACAGTGCATATCTGGAAGAAGTGCTTAATTTTAAATGTTGCCATGCAGTAGAAGGGAGTTTAGTCCTTTTTCTTGACATAAGACACAAATGTGTTTCGAATTGGACTGCTGTTAGCGGCTGTGTCCAACATTCTGTTGACTCAGTGCTTGATCTGCAATCTAAGATATTTTACTCATCTGCACTACGTGGGTTTAAACAATGTGATTCTCTATAGATGTATGACCACTTCTAAGGTGAACTCCTCTCTTTCGTCTTTGGGGTCACCCCACACGGGCACAGGCTGTGCTGTTGAAAGTGACCTCATGCTGCCATCTGTGGTGTTCCTTTCCATGCCTGCTTTGCTTGTTTCAGAACAATACTTCTCTGAAAATAGAATTCTGACGGGAGGCAGACAGGGGGCCGGCTGGTGTTTTGAGGGGCCCCAAACCGCCCAACCCATCCAGAAGTGCGCTAAGCTACAGGTACCGCGCATGCGAAGATCATGCAAGGACGGTCCGTTTAACAGGCTCTGCTTGGCCTCTGCCATCTTCAGTCCACCAGTCAGACTACAGGTGAGAGGTTAAACAACGACTGGAAGTGATCCGTTATTGTTCATGATGTCATCCAAGTCCTCATCTTCTATGACCACTGAAAACAGATATGCCAAAAAAAACACTGTACCTCCTCTCTGGTTTACCAGCCTTACTGTATTATACCAAATAAATCAGAACTTTGTTAAATTGTAGATGACTTAACAAACGTCTCAGGTTCAACTTTAATTGCCATTTGCTATTGTGTGTGTGTCACCTCTACATGTGTGTCACCTCTACTATGTATGCTGGGACAAGCGCACTCACCTCTCTTGGACCGTCCAATTTGCCCCAGCTTGGGGGCCCTCTGGCCTAGTCTTCGCTGGGGAGAATCGAAACTCTGGGAGTTGCCACTGAATCCGACGCCCATCGTTTGCACTCGAGCCGGGTCCAGACGGCCAGGACTGGGATGGGAGGGAGCAGTAGCCGGTAGCAGCTCCGGTATGCCCGACAAGCCGTGCAGCTCTCGCGCGGCTCGTGCACTTCCTCCGTCCTTGTCTCGCGCTTCTTCCTCCTCGCTTTTCATGAGAGCCCCTAAGCTCGCGCTCTCCTTCTCCTCTTTACTTCCGCAGCAGTAAAGCATGCAGCAGGCTGTCTTGTTTTTTCGCACCGAAAGACGAGGAGGGCTTTCGTGCTGCACAAAAATATATGCGCAAGCATTGCAGAACAGACGACCAATAGAGTTTATGCATAAAAAATTAGCGTAGAAATCACCTAAACAACCTCTTCGATTACTACGACAATTTTTCTTAGTGAAGTATTCGAACTATGATGACTATCATTATATAAGAAACTATCTAGTAACCACAAATATTGTAAAGAGATTCATATGCGGTAATGAAATAATCGCATCGCGCAGGTCTCTTACTTGAACGACTTGTTCAAGCAACCGCTTAATGCGGTGCTCAACCTGCTCTGGCGAGCTTCTCAGTTGCCATAGCAATTTAGGTTTACAGCTGCCCTCCAGTATGATATCATGTAAATTGTTTCTAACCTGTAATGAAAGCTGTCGTCTTCGGCGTGTTCTGCTCTATAACAGCCCTTTCATTCGGGTTGCTGTCGAGTTGATTTTAACAGCGCACATCTAGCCCCCTCCTCGCCTCCCCCCCTTCACTCTTAAAGGAGAAGGGTTACCTCTCTACCTCTCTTAGCTATGACTAGGGGATTTCCCTCGCGCCTTTCTTCTGCAAGTATGTGCATTGACAGACATATAAATAAATGAAGACGTACCAACTAATCTAACAACTATATATATATATATATATGGGTAGGGGCTCGAAGCCATGAAGGAGCCTCTGTTTTTCATGGCATTGATTCCTATGAAATCCTACTCCATGGTGACATGAATGCATCATGCAGTTTCAGCAAATTTGTCAGCTGCACATCCATGCTGTGAATCTCCAGTTCTACCACATCCCAATGGTGTGCTATTGGATTCAGACCTGGTTACCGAGAAGGACATTGAAGATCACTGACCTCATTGTCATGTTCATGAAACCAGTTTGAGATGACTTTTGCTTTGTAATGTGCTGGATCATCATGTTGGAAGCAGACACTGGTCAGCAACAACCCTCAAATAGGCTGTGGAATTCAAGCGATGATCGATTGGTATTAACAGGCCCAAAGTATGCCAAGAAGACATTCCCCTCACCATTACACCACCAGCAGCCTGGGCTGCAGGCGCAAGGCAGGTTGGGTCCATGGATTCATGCTGCTGATGTCAAATTCTAACCCTACCATCTGTGTGCCTCAACAGAAATCGAGATTCATCAGACGTTTTTCCAGTCTTCAACTGTCCAGTTTTGGTGAGCCTTTGCTCACTACAACCTTAGATTTCTGTTTTTGACTGGAAGGAGTGGAACCCAGCATTGGTCTTCTGCTGTTGTAGCCCATCCCCATAAAACTTCAACATGTTGTGCATTCTGAGATGCTTTTCTGCTCACCACAGTTGTACAGAGTGGTCATCTGAGTTACAAAAGCCATCCTGCTTGGCAATTCTCCTCTGACCAGCATGTCATTTCCATCCACAGAACTACATATAACAGAATTCATTTTAATTGCCAGGTACACCAGTATGTATTAGAAATGTGTTTTGGCAGTATTGTTGAATAATACAAATAAAATACATTTGTGTATGGAAAAGTTTAAAGTACTGATTAGAACCAGATTCCACAAATATGCACAAATAATTAAGGTTATACAATCATATATACTATAGATGTGCAAACATAGCAGAAGCAAATATGCAAGGAATCCAGGAATGTGCAGATAGTGTGCTGGCAGAGCTTCGGAGCAGTGCAAATATTATGGGAATGAAGTGTAGTGTTCAAGTCCATTTGGGTCAAGACTAATTCTTGCAGGGTGAATTCCAGCAGGGTGAGTCCAAGACGAGACTGAATCCATTACTGGAACTTAACTAATTCCAACTCTAAATCTGGAAAAAAATCACAATTTCAATTCTAGACCAAGAATCTGAATTCAAAAAATATACATGGCAGACTAAACAAAAAAGCTCAATTTTTTTCTCCATTTTAAATAATTTATATGAAATGGCCATGAAATAAGAAATCATTTTCGTCTAAGAAAGAAATGATTTATCAAACACAAATGTAACAAACACCTCTGTAGTAATTATTAATTATTATTTAATTGTAATATAACTGTATCCTGCTGAACACATTTAAAATTAGTTTTGGAACAAAATAATACGCATAGAATAATACAAAGTATTTTACATAATAAACTTTTTATTAAATATATTGTAATTTTCTTAAAAGTATACACAATATATATAATGATAAAGTACACACATAATGTTCAGTGGCAGATCCACAGTGTAACACGTTATGTATTATGATTGGGATTCTCCACACTACTTCCTTGCTCAGAAATGTTGGCCAGGATGTAGTCTTTGGAATTGATGATTGCTTGGGTGGGAAGGATCCATAGTGATCTTTGCTGTGCGCTTCCTTACTCTGCACTCATTCAGGACTTGGTTAAGTGACAGGCTGCAGCTAATGATTTTTTTAAATGATCTGATGTTGTTCTGCAGTTTGTCTTTGGCCTGGGCATAGGCAGCACCAAACCAGACGATAACATTCATATCACAAAAAAATATCATTTTAATGATAATGTACTGTATAATCACACTGATCATTTCCATGTGAAACCAAAAAGTGTGGTTGTTCAAAGAATGTCTGACAGTATTCTGCAAAACAGCACCACCCTTAGGTTAACAAAAGGAACTTCAGGGATATGAAACATTTTCTGCTTCATTGTGGGTGGAGTGGTGGCTCTAGGGCTAGCGATCTGTACCAGCACTCAGAAGGTGGTTGGTGTGAATGACTGGAGGGAATATACTCCATTGGGCCCTTGACCTGCAACTGCTTTGTCCTGGGTATGATGTTAATCTACACGCAGTCCTGCAAGCAGGTCCTCCAACGTACAGGGAAAATTTGGTGGTTGGTGGCAAGACTGGCACTGCAGCCACTGGGGGAAAAAAAATTGTGTGGTGCTGAGGTGTCACTTACCGCATGGCTGTACTCAAGTTCGCATCCCTGAGGTGGTTTGCCGTGTGGTGAGTGCAGCAACACGCTATAATCAGTGCGCGCTCCTTACACGCTGTAATCTGTGCACGCTCCTTACCACCACCACTTAGGTTAATTCTTGCATTGCTGGGAGTTGGCATTTACGAGACATGATAAGAGTGAAAACTCTAACAACAAAGGAAACTATAGGTAGTTCACTGATTTGCTGTCTAAATACGTTGATATTTTGGCTTTTGTTGCTAGCTGTGTGTGTGTTGTATATGTAATAAAGAGCATAAGAGCAATGTAAGCTCTGTAGCCTAGTCAAATCTTGTGAGTAATTTTACTCGTACAGTGGTACCTCGGTTCTCGAACTTCCGGACTCCGGATCGAATCCTAAAAAGTTCGAGTTCTGATCGAACTTTTCTCATAAGAAATAATGGAAAACCAATTAATTGGTTCCCGGCCCCCCCAAATTACACCTAAATATGTTTTTTTTTTTTAGCATTTAAACACAAAATGAACAGGATATAACAAGAAGAGCATTCTTTTCTTAATGGCTTCCAAAATGATAAAGATCTTATCCCAACATCACCCCTGTCATGCCCCGATCGTCCGCTCCATCACCCCTGCCATGCCCCCTCGTTAACCTCGTGTGGGATCCCCATGTGATCAGCTGTTTCTGGTTGTTGTCATTAGTCCTCTGTATTAATGGTGCGTTCGTTTTTCTCTCGGAACTCGGAAATTCCGAGTTGAGTGACATCACGTCCGACAATCTCCCGTTCGAGCTACCCACATCTCGGAACAAACATGGCTGCCTCCATGAACACATTGCCCGGTATTGTTGCTTTATATTTTAGCAGATTTGGAGTTTTCTAAATGGAGAAATGGAGAATTTTCCGAGAGACAAACAAGTAACACGAACTAGTCAAACCACATTAAAAGCTTTATAAAATATTTTAGTACATTCATAGCGATATTCTTTTTTCGAACGGTAAACAAACTACAAACAAACCAAGTCGCCATGTTGAAATTTCGTCACAGGGGCAACTCGGACAACAAAATCTTGTCCAACTTCAACGTCATAAAAGAGGCGTGTTTCCGACGGGAAGTGACATTTTTCGTGACGTTTTCATCCGAGTTCCGACTTGGAGAGAACGGTCCAGCTGCAGACACCTGTAGAGTGGAGCTCCACCGGAAATACGTCACCTCCACAGGAAACACGTGGAGCTCCACTCTACAGGCGTCTGCAGCTAGACCCTCTTGGACTTGGAGAGAAATAATCGAATGCACCATAAGTCCGCGTTTCAGTTTGTTTTCACAGTGCGGTCATTGGGTGCGTCCGACTTGCTTACAGCGCTGGCTTAAAGCAACGTATTCTGATCCTGACGCAATGCATTAAGGTTAGATGCATTGCGACCTCTCACCCAGCTGCACAAACTGGAACCGCTTCCGTGACGACACACCTTTGCACTTATTGGCTGAAGAGTTTAGTTACACGCATGACGTTTGTATCCCAGGCAGTTCCTTTTCTGACTTTCAAGAAATCGTTAAAACATCATATTTGTCAGCCTCATCTTCTAGGCCTCAGCTCACCAGGTTAATAGCCACACAATCGAGGGCTCTGGAAACAGGCTAAATAGGCCTACATTTGATGGAAATTAAAAAGAATATTTCAATTTTTGTCTTATTTATAGCTCTGCAGTTATACAGGTATGTGCATGAAGGAGACATGCATGTATATGATTCTCTATTGTTTTTCTGTATTGATATAAATTTTTTTCGAAGGGCCAAACTGAGCCTTGTGTTCTATAGATAAAGGGGGACGGATAGATAGTGTTAGTTAGCGAAGATAAACCCAGCTTACCATATAAGCGGATACTTCCCAAAAACAGTTCAGAAAGCCAAATATATTTTTAAATTTCTACAAAATTTGTCGTCAGGAAAGCTGATCGTAGGCTATATATAAATGTCTGTGGTTCACTGGTCCTTTGGGAAGTTTAAGGGATCCCTGTCGAATCCAGTTGCTTTTACTTCAAGCAGATACTTAGTCCGTCGGAGGGGGCGTGTCCAGATACTGAGTCCGTCGGAGGGGGCGTGTCCGGATACTGAGTCCGTCGGAGGGGGCGTGTCCCGGCAGGAAGCGAAAAAACAAAAGCAACAAGGGATAAACAAGATGGAAAAACCAATACAGAAAAAAATCAAAACAATAGGTGGAAAGTAATTTTTAAAAAGCATTTGTTCTCATTCTTTTATTTGTTTGCATTTATTTTATTTTATTTTCCTACTCAACATTTATTTCCTTATTCTTTTACATGCAGATTTATGCTTTTTTATGGTATTCCTATGACTCCATATGAAGTACCTGTAATATATTCTAAATCTAACGTTAAAGTTGTTTCATAGAGCTTCGATTATATTGCAGCAGATAATTAAATCACTTTTCTCTTGAATCTAGCTATAATCACATTCAACATGTAATCATCAGATTTCCGACTGTTTGCTCATCATGAATTTTAATCTCAGCAATCCGTGTTAAATTGATCCAAGACCAGCTGCTAAAGCACCATAGTGTATGTTAAATTCCAGCAGAATTCTGTACGGCAAATACTGCACAGTAGATGGCAGCAGTGACTGCCTCTACGAACCAGCTATGCCATCTATGAAAGATTTCCGACATTCGTCGTTACAGCAAGACTAACTTCCGACTCATAATTTTCTTGTGAAATTCCTGTAAAGACTCACGAGATATTTGACTTTTGATTTTTTTTTTATTCGTTTTAGCTAGGCCTATTAAATACGTCCTTTAAATGATTATTTAAATTAGAATTTAAGTTGCCATTTAAGTGATGTTTAATAGATGTGTTCTGCCCTGGCGGTGAGAGACTACATAAACTTCCTAACTTTCAGATCCAATTTTAAATTATAATTTAAATAATCATTTAAATAGCATTTGTTTGCGAGTGAGGGAGGAAGGTAGCTTGAGATCGACAGACGGATCGGTGCAGCGTCGGTGGTAATGCAGCTTACTGCACCGTTCTGTCCAGAGGGGGAAGAAATACTTAGTAGTAACTCAGTTACGACTGAAGTATAAATCATGAACAAATATAGTAACGGCTTGGCATAATGATGAACAAACATGATTAGTATTTCACTTGTTTTTTTCATTACTTGTTCCTTCAGTAGTTCCTACAATAGTTCACAAATGTGTACAGAATGAACAGATATAGTAACAAATATAGTAATTGCTTGAGATAAAAGATGTGTCCCAATTCACTGATAATGAACTAACATAAGATCAAGATGTAACTAAGACTTATTTTGCGGTTACGTAATGGCATGATACTACATTATTTGAGCACCCTCAAGTAAAGTGTTACTAGAGGGGAACTGAGCCAGAAGGCAAAGCTATCGATTTACCGGTCGATCTACAATCCTACCCTCACTTGGCCAGCTTTGGACAGTGACCGAAAGAATGAGATCGTGCATACAAGCAGCAGAAATGAGTTTCCTCCGCAGGGTGTCTGGGCTAGAGACAGGGTGAAGAGGTCAGACATCCGGGAGGAGCGCAAAACTTCGAAAGTGTTACGGTCAGGTTTTTTTTCTTTCTCTTTTGGCTCTGTCGTGGAACGACAAGCCAGTTAAAAAGCAATGATGATTTTCGTGTGTTCTGTGCCTGATTGGCTGATCCTCCTTAATTTGCACCTGATTTGAATTCTCCACAGACTACAGGTGAAATAAAAGGAAGACCAGAGGAAAAGCGGGAGAGAAATGCAGTATTGTGTGTTGTAGCAGAACCTGTTTGGTGCTTTTTCTATCAAGCTGCCCCTTGGACGGCTCCCAGGGTAGGTGCTTCAGGTATGTCTAACCGGGAGATCCGGGACAGACCCAGGACACGCTGGAGGGAGTAGCCTATATCTCTCGGCTGGATTGGAAAACGAATGAATGACGTCTATTGGATATTGTCACCAAGCACCCTCCATTGTCCATGAGAAGTCAGTCACTGCGGTAAAGTTAGCTGCATATTCGATATTCAGTCTTCCAGCTGTAATATTTTGCAAAAAGCAAGCCAGGCAGTTCTATGTCCGCAGGCAGAGACGCATACCGATCATTTCTGTTTCGAGTCCTTTTGTGTGCCATATCCTGAAGAGTAAGAAAAGAGGCGACCTCTGCTAGAACGAAATACAGTATAAGTCCACTAATTATATATGCACCATGGCTGACTGGTCAAGTGTTATGTTTGTGCATTTAGCCTAGAAGATTAGTACATTAATGCATATAAAACATTCCGCGCACTGTGCGTACAGATTAACCACACATTCTTCTTTGCCACCCCAGTTAAAATCCCTAGAACCGACTGCTGGCCAGTTTAAAACGTTTGTTACAGAAGTAATATAGTAAGTTACATTACTCTGATAAATTAATCCAAGTATTTATATTTTATTACATTTTAACAGGGAAACTAGCTATCTATAGCATATTACATTTCAAAAGAAACTTTCCCAACGCTGCCGGCTGGTATCGGTTGTGTTTGGCTTCAGGTTTCGTTTTTTTTTTCTTTTTTTTTTTTCTTGTGTTTGCTTCCCAGATTCCTACCTCGAGGTGATGTCTCATGTTTTCGACATTTCCCGTGATACAATCAGAATGCATTGTTTACGTAGAATACCACAGGAAACGCCGTAAATCCCTTTCGATAAAGAAAAAAAACCATTTTGGTCCATTTAGCACAGATAGATTTAAAACGCCAATGACCCTGGGGAGCCTACCTGTTCTAACCATGAACATTTCCGAAACGGCAGCCGGATTTAGTTTTTTAATTGACCTTTATTATGTTAAACTTTATGCTGACTCATTTCCATAAATTGTTAATTGTCACTTCATTTATTTAAGTGGTTGTTTATTAGGAGTCCAAGCATATCGTAGCTGCTGGATCCCTATTGATTTTTTTAACTTAATTCCAGAAGCAGATAGAATCGACAATAGCATAAAATGTGGATTCACTTAACGATAAAGCACGGCTTGTATGTTTTCACTACTTACGCGTCTAGTTATATTTTGATAGTTTCCAGCGTCCCGATCATCCCTCCGCAGCTAACCGCGCTCCTTCCTGCACCGTTACACAGCGCTTAAATGTTACTTTTTGATTAGCCTTGGAGCACAATAAGAGGGGGAAAGGACCAAAGAAAGTGCCGCTGTTTATGACGATTAGTATCGGCCTACATGGAAACCTGTAGGTCAAGTGAGACGCTAACGCAACTCCAGCAGCACGCTAAGAGGACAGGTCCGACTAGATGTTCCACTTGGTACATAGCTTAAATACATCACCCCATTTTTTCTTTCTCTCATTTCGAATAAAACGCCACCGTTCCAGTTTGGGGTTTCATTTTTCTTAATCACTACGCTTCCCTTTTCAGGATCACTACCACACGGATAAGATTGGCTTTTCGCTTGTTTCAAGATAGGCCTAAAGCAAGGTACAATAACTATTATTTATGAACTCGATCTTTATTTCTCATGAAAATAAACGTTAAGTGTAAATGTTAGATTTCATTTATATCTAATAGGCTAGGAATAAAATCTTTTATATTCAAAATTCATTTTACATAAGGTGATATGAATACGCTTGTCAATTTTGCCGATCACTATTTGCCACTGTCGTCATCCAGCGGTTTTCAGCATTTTCAGTATAAGGATTTCCTTCTAGGCATTAGTGTTCAATTCGTGTTCTCTTGTGATTTCATGATCATGTTTTTACAGTATAACGTAGCTAAATATGAAATGTTGGATAATACAGATGCAGTAAAACCATCTAAATTCCATTTTGCTCTTGCTGGCAAATATACTTTGTAGTTTGCCTGTATATTAGTAACTATGGCAACGAAGATCGTCTTTGAGCAGCCCCAGCCGGCCATGGAAAGATTTGACTCCCCTGATTGGAGCTCGGGGATCTGTGACTGCTGTCAGGACAAGGCTGATTGTAAGTGCATTTAAAGGCACGCCATGTATGTTGGTGTGTTCCTGTGAGTGGCCTGAGATGAAAGTCTGTGTGTGTGTGGGCATGTCTCATCCAATGCCTGTATGTGGTCCCTAGGCTGTTTTGCTTTCTGGTGCCTGCCCTGCTATGCCTGCCGGACTTCCAGGGCCCACGGCGAGTGTCTGTGCTTGCCGTTACTCGATGTCTGCGGCATAGTGCCTCCCATCACCTATGCAATGCGGGTCTCTGTGCGACGGCACTATGGCATCAGGGTAGGAACACACACAGTTCTAATCAGTCTACCGGTTCTATTATTAGATAGGAATGTTGACTTGGATGGATGGCCAAGCTGAGAGGTGGTGTTGTGGTACTCGAAGTAACTTCTTGTATTAGGACACCATGTGTAATAACATGGATTTTATTTGTAATTGCTGTCTCTGAAATAGGACACCATATGTAATGACCAGCTCTCTCGCTGTTTTAGGACAACATATGTAATGACTGTCTCTGTTTTAGGACACCATGTGTGATCACTGTCTCTGTTTTAGGGCACCATGTGTGATGACTGTCTCTGTTTTAGGACACCATGTGTGATGACTGTCTCTGTTTTAGGGCACCATGTGTGATCACTGTCTCTGTTTTAGGACACCATGTGTAATGACTGTCTCTGTTTTAGGACACCATGTGTAATGACTGCTTATATGCCACTTTCTGTGGTCCCTGCACCTGGTGCCAGATATCAAGAGAGATGAAAGCGCGATTCCGACCAATCACCCTCATCAACGCCAGAGTTAAAGAATGAACCCTTTAACTGTCATCAATCCTCCGTGGTCAGTTTTGAATAGCTCACCTTCACCGCAGTCAGCCTCTGGCCCAAAACAGCCCTCTGCCTGTTTAGCCTGAAGTCACCATTTAAACAAACTGGTAAAAAAAATATGTGAGGGGCTTCCAGGCCCCTAGTGCCACGTCTCACAAGTACAGGAAAATCAATATGTTGATATTGTCATTAGCTGCTATGAGTACCTCTAACACTGCTAAATGCAACTAAATAAAATTTTTCCCCTTAAAATTTTGCAAATCTTAGAAATATTGCAAATATTGTGCTAACTTTACATATGTTCATATATGCAGTGTAAGGAGGTGTTGGGGGAGTTTGGGAAATAGAACAATGTGATACAATGATTCCCTAATAGACTATGGAGTTTTCTTTGGGATGTTCCCATTTTAAGAGATGGATGGGAGGGGGATAAGCGCTTCAGATAACAATTGTGAAATGGCAGTATTGGTGGGAGAGAAGTTAAAAAAGAGGAACACTGTTCAGAGAACTCTTCACTGCCTGGGTGTTCAGATACTCAGGAGTGGGGCTACAATGTGTAACTCAATGAGAATCACACACACATACACACCACCCGATACGTTAGTGTTTTTCAACTGTTGGGAAGTGTGACCATTTCCAGTGGTTTAAAAACATTTTCGGCAGCGAACTGAGCAGACATTGCAAAAAACTACCACTATATGTGATGTCCCACTAACACCTCGCACTGTAGGGATAAAGAGTGTGGGGGGGGGGGACAGGTTAAAAAAATAAATAAAATATATATATATAGGTAAATATGGACAAACAGAAGTTTTTATTTTCTTTCAGTTATATTCTAAGTAATTCGACAGGAGAGAGATGAAATAACGTGGAGAAAACGCTTTTTTTCCCATTTGCTTACAAACGCAGCACTTAAAACGCATACATAGAAATACAGGCACTTTACCACAACAGCATATTTTTGGGGAAATAAATTACCACAAAATAACCTATTTGCCATAAATTTGGTAGCACATAAAATAGAATAGAAAAATTAAATGGTTTTTTTTGTTTTGTTATTTCTTCAACATGCCGCTTAAAGTGCAATGGAAATTAACGTAATTCTATGCCGTGAATGTCAACGTTTGGAACTATTCACTGTCCCCACGACCCGGACATTTGTCGGAAATTTCTCCGCCTTTTTTACAATGGGTCCCTATGGGAGTGTCGCCACTCGGTTTTTTTCTACCGCTCTGCTACACTTAATCCATACTAATCCATTACTGTGCGACAGTAATAATCCTCCGTGGGAGGATCGCACGGTGATCACGGAGCAGTAAATAGTCTTGTGGAGTAAATGAAGCAAAGAATATGCATCGAGGACGTCTTGTAATCGAGTTATTAAAGTTACTTGATGAATCATTGCAGCCCAAATCTGCATTCTTCAAATAGCAAACAGACAAGTGGGCCTGACATTATGCCCCCCCCCCCCCCCCCCCCAATTCAGATGTCTTCCACGGTCCATGGGGCTTGGAGAATCTCAGAATTGCATGCAACTTCACAAATAGCTAAATGTACTTTTTGTATCATCTCAAATGATATACAAATAGTTTTACTCACAGATCTTTACAAGGCAATAAACAGCGTATCGTTGCCCTGTCGACAAATTTCTGTCATGATTTGCTGACCAAGGAATTATGTGGGTCATGAGGCTAGACCAGTTGAGGATGAGGTTTCACCAGCCATTCTTTCCCTGAGGGCCAAATTCCATGAACAAGAAGAAGTCCACTTCTGACTGGGGAAGTCCCCTGACCAGCTCACCAATCAGCTGTGGCGCCTTTCACATATTCAGGTTTCCTGTTTGTGAGGTTTCCCCCCTTGGAGTACACTATCAGTAAACTGGAATATTGCTTTATTTTGTTTCTGTTTATGAATTGAGACTTGAATGTGAACTTGTGTTAGAGAATGTAGTTGACATTGTTCCACATGTTTAATATCAGTTGCTTGTGTGATGGTGTGTGTGTATAACTGTTTTATGTGTCATCTTGGTCATATGTGACTGTGTTGTTGGTTGTGTTTGTATGAGTATATGACAGTGGCGTTGCCACGTCTGTGAAATAGGGTGGGCCACTATTTTATACTCTCAAATTCCACAGTGAACAGTTATTCCCCCATTTTCTTCCATTTTTATTATTCTATTAATTTACGAAACCTCCGGCATCTAATTGCATGAATGAGACGATAATTGACAACAATTTACTTTGCAAAGAAATAAACACCAGTATTTTGTACAACTAAAAATGAGAGAGAGAGAGAGAGATAGAGAGAGAGGGGAGGAAAGGAGTCGGTGAGAGAAATGCATAGCCTTAATGGGGGGGGGGGGGGAATGCATAGCCAACACTATTGGGAAAGATGAGGAAATGGGGATAGTCTATAACCAGCCTGCATTACATAGCTGTAAAAATATGAGTTAGCTTTTTATAAAAACCCTGTAACTGACCAACAGAGCTTATATGATCCCATCATGGATTACATTTCAGAAACTATGAACATAATACCCTACCTGTGTTATGTTGTCTGTACTTCCAGAAATACAGCACAAGATGTAACCTTTTAATGACAACATGCAACTTTCGATTGGGTGGGCCAGGACCTTATTTGGCTTTGCCACTAGTAATATTTATATATTTCTGTTTCATTTGTCTGCCACCGGGTGTGTGAGAGCGTTTGCCTGTGATTATGTCTCGTGTGTGTCTTCTGTTGTCTACGCGTGTGACAGTGTTCCATGTTCCTTCAGTCTGTGTAATCAGGCTTCCTATTCTTTTCTGAGTGATTTTACCTCAGCTGCATCTTGAGACCTGTCCTGACCCCGTCTTTCTCACCTTCCCCCATCTTTCCTCAACAGCTGCCACACTAAAGACAAACCCGAAAGCAGTAATGACCTTCTTCACCAGCAGATGGCCACAGCTGTAATTACACCACATAACTGAGTACAGCCATATCACTTTCTTACAATCCGGGGAACAGATTGGAAAACTTTACACATTTTTTGAGTTAATGAACTTTGAAGAAACTTCTTACTTGTCCAGTGGAAGGAAGTCCTGCTTCACTTACGGGAAGGATTTACTATTTTTTTTTTTTTTAATAGTAGAAGACAAGAAAGATGGAGTGGTTTGATAGATTATGTTGGACAACATGTTTGTTACTTTTCAGCTAAAATTTTGGTTTTGGGTTGTATTTACAGATTTTGTTCATGTCTTCAGTTGAGTACACATCTGTGCATTTGTACTTGTTTGCATGACTTTTGTTTGTTCACCTTTAGTTCACACATGGTGCAGATGCTAGGTGTAAAATTATGTGCATTTGAGCTAGAATATTCAACAGTACCTGTGCTTTGTTTTATATGTCCATGGCACTGTACCCCCAGACATACTAGGGGATTAGTAGGGTGACCACCTAATCCATGTCAGGAGGGGCACTTTGAGCTACGACAGGGTTTGTAAACTACCATTTCAACCATTTCAATCAAAAGGCCTGGATTAAGCCCTGAGTTCTTGCTGCGTGCGGATTGGTCAGTCTCCTATAATCATGCATGTATCACTATTGTTAATGTGAAACAGCTGGATGAATCAATCAAGGAAACAACCCCATTAAAACTACAAGACAAACCAAACAATTTAGCTGAGCACGGGAGCCTTTTAAAGTAGCTGGCAAAACCTGAAGCAGCTCATAGTGTCCCTTCTGACATGGATTAGGTGGTCACCCTGCATACAAGGAACACCACACAGCTCACATAGCCACTTGCCGTTTCACCCACATTCACTTTTTACTTTAACTGTTTCTACCTGAACACAACACTTATCGCTGAGAAAACAACAACATTGTAGCCACTGTCACAGAACTGTGTGGAATGCTGTTGTCTGTTGTGACAAAATTATTTATATGCACGTAAGTAAATGTGAGCAGGAAGGGTGGATGTGTAATACTGAAATGTGGATGAATGCTACGGCCTGCTATGTAGTGCTCAGGCCTCTGCTATGTGGAATTCACGTGATCAACTAGAAAAATATTCCAGTTGAACTACATTCCTTCACATATGTGTACATTAGTTATTAACAAAACAGACCTTTATATCCTGTACTTTGGTGTCTGTTACTCATCTTCTGGGACAAATCGCCTGGACCTTGTGCTGTGTCACTTTGTCAGTAAAAAAAACTGAACATGAACAATAAGTACCCACCTATGTCACCAACACCCCTACAAACTATAAATAAGTATTTTTGTGGCTTATTTTAGTAGGATCATTTTCTGTTCATGGAGCCTTAGCAGGCCTAATCACAGCTGTCGATCCAGTCCAACCAGTGGGGCAGAGGTATTTGTGAGAGCCTAGTGTTTGTGTACAGTGCATTTCCTCTTAACAAACCACGTCGCAGTCACACGTTCAGGTTGATTCTGGTGAAATAAAAAGCATGTACTGTATTCGCAACGTTCGTGTGTTAATGCTGAATTATATGATTGGTAATTTAACATTAAGATTAAAACATGATTTCTACGCAGAGTTTTCCTGTAGAATGCAAATATTTCCTAGAAGAGATCACAGGTCAGCAGCCCCTATGTTACAATTCAGCTGGACAGCTGGTTATATCTGTATGCAAGGGTGTCACGGGAGGTGGGGGGGGGGGATCCAATAAGAGCCTTGCACGTTATCCTGTATGGCCTAGTATGTTTACCTCTGTCAGAGGTGGAAAGTAACAAACTACAACTACTTCGTTACTGTACTGAAATACATTTTTGTCACATATCTGTATGTTATGCAAGTAGGTTTTTTAAATCGGATCACGACAGATCCGATTTAAAGACAGATTTCCGTGCTTTTCTTGTCAAAGTTCCGCGGCACAAAGCGGGAGTGGAGAGTTTGTAGCCCCAGAGGTTTGAAATCCTGTCAGCTCTTAGCAACTTACAGTACAAAAGCAAGATGAAAGCTTTGGGCATCGTTTTCTTCAGTTTAAGAGAGAGAGATTGTTTGCGATTCAGTTAGTACCACACACAGCTCCTTTGATACATTATGGAAAGAGGCCCTGGAAATGGCAAGAGGCGATCCTCGGATGAATGTGACCTTATTGGTGAATTGTGAATAGTATGTTGGTAAAATCATGACAAAGGTGTTAAAATCTGCATCCTGTGGCCGTTAGCTGGTAAGTTTCACTTAATAACACACACACATATAGGGCTTTGTGCTATGACCAAAATCTGACCCCGATAGCGTTACATATCACGATATTGCACATTTTCTGCAAATTCAATGAATAAATGGTTTATATAAATCACCACAAGGAAAGACCTATATATTACCTTTTTAATTATTTACTCGACAAATAAAAGGCACATATTTTTTTCCTTTTTTTCCCTTCATTTGTGCACATTTCCAATTAATCATAAAATATAAGATATCAATGTATCAATTATAAAAGGTAAATGGAAAACTGCCAACTGTTGAAGCATGTACGGTGAAGATAAGGCCTCTGTGAAATGTTGCGCAGTTTCCGCAACATTGTATGCATTCATTTGTATCCATTCATTTATGCAATGTAACTGATACCGTGGGCTGAAACATTTTTTTCCCTCAGTCAATATGTTACACGAGAACCAAATTCTCCAGACAAGTAGAAGCAAAACCCTGGAAAATATTGGGTGAGACAAACACCACTATTTTGAATATTGGGTGGAATGTGCCCCCATGAGTAACACCTATGTCTCCATGGAAACAGGTTGCCTTAATTTCAGTAGCATATGAACTGCTGGCCTCCGGTAGCTACGGTGCGCCCCCTAGTGTCATAATCTGATAACCAGCTTACTGAATGCACCTACAGTACGGTACTGCATGTCTGTGGAATGTAGTTAATGCTCAAGCGATAATAAAATACAAGGGCATCTGTTTGTTCTCAAGATTTGCTCAGTTGTACAAATGCTCAGATGATTTAATGAAGTAATTTGTATAAATAATTATTAAATGAAGTAGCTTGGTGTGGTGGCTGACTGTAGCCTCAGCTCCAGGGATGCGGGTTTCGCCTTAGTTCTCTTTGTGAGGTTCCATGTTCTTCCCATGCGTGTGCAGGTTCTCCCCAGGTACTCTCATATCATCATGCTGAATAAATACGCACTGCATTCAGCATGGTATTGTACCCTGTCTTGTACCTTACCTAGATAAGCACTATAGAAAAGGAATAGATGGATTCAATAAGATAGAGAAATGATTATAAACTTATTGATTTGAAAAGGTCTAGTTTCAAAGTATATACAGTGTTACCTCAGTCCTCGAACTCACTAGAACTCGAATTTCTTGAAAGTCGAACAAACCAGTTTGACCTAGAACTCGATCTGAATATCAGAAGTCGAACCGTGAACGCTGACCTAATATAAATTGTACGCGCCAGGAAATGAGGCACATGGCATGTCTCTGAGCCAGCGCTGTAAGCAAGTCGAACGCACCCAATGACCGGACTGGGGAAACAAACTGAAACGCGTACTTAATACAGAGAACTAATGACAACAACCAGAAACAGCTGATCACATGGGGATCCCACAGGAGGTTAACGAGGGGGCGTGGCACACAGAAGGAGCGGACGATTGGGGCAGGACAGGGGTAATGTTGGGATAAGATCTTTATCGTTTTGGAACCCATTAAGAAAAAAATGCTCTTCTTGTTTTATCCTGTTCATTTTGTGTGATGCTAAAAAAAATGTAGGTGTAATTCTGGGGGGCCGGGAACCAATTAATTGGTTTTCCATCATTTCTTATGGGAAAAATTCGATCAGAACTCAAACTTTTTAGGATTCGATCCGGAGTCCGGAACGGATTAAGTTCGAGAACCGAGGTACCACTGTATAGAACAGGCACGTGTAGAGGGGGGGGGCGGAGGGTACTTGAGCACCCGCCCCTTTCCTCCAGGATGCCTCAAGTGCCCTTTTCTTGGGGTTTTTTTTTTTGTTGTTGTTTTTTTTTATGTGTATGTGCGTATGGAGCCCTGTCTTTGCCCCTCAACAAAAAAACATAACTATTAATCTCAATTTTGCTAAATAAAAGGATCTGGCTTGCATCAGTCACATGACTGCCATTAACCAATGCTCGCCCTTGAGGGCAGAGCGCGCTC